TATTGGAGAAATAATTAAATGTTGATGACATTTGAGGATATTTTTTAAATGTTTTTTGTGGAATTCTTTATGCGGCCCAGCCTCACCCAGACTCTGCCTCCAGCGGCCCCTGGGTAAATTGAGTTTGAGACCCCTGGTCTAAGGGCTTCTTGCCCTGATGCTCATATGCAACAGGGCATGAAACCTTCTGACTGTATCAGACCGAACTTGGAAAGGAAAGACTTACATGATAGCTAGAGGGAGAGATAAACATAGATTTATTGAAGAGATATATAAATAGAATTCATGGAAGATGAATAGAAAACATTTTCCAGATTTCTTCTTGTAGTCTTTAAATGTCTACATTTCTACTTCTAAGTAGAACTACACTGCAAATCTAAAATAATTTTGTTTTGAGCTAAAACTAAACTATGACTAAACTGTTTTTGTGTAATTACAGTTCAGCCTAATCAGATTTAATATTCAGAATACTCAGGTTAAAAACTTTCAAATACTTGAACAATAAAGGCTTCATTTTGTTTATTTTGTCATGCTACAGTTGGGACTTTAACCAGTGTGGATTTTACTTTGTACGATGCAAAGGGAAGGAAAGCATTTTTGTGAAAAGAAAATTATAAAAATGTTTTTGGGAGGTTATGTAATAATTACGAATAATAAATTAATCAAAAATGTTAGTGGACACAATTGATGAAAAAATAATAAAAACGAAGTTAGAGGAGAAAGTTTTCAAACAGCACTCTTACAGGAGAAGTACTACAGGTCAGGTGCAGGTGATGAGTTAGTGTGAACGTACTGTTGCATTCATGCTCATCAGACTTATCAGGACAGTCAGGTTCTCCATCACATCGTTTCTGAGCATCGATGCAGCTTCCTTCATCACATTGGAACTGGAAGGCAGAGCAGATGGGGCAGTGCACTTCGTCGCTGCCGTCATCACACTCTGGGAAGCCATCACAACGCCAGGCCATGGGGATACAGCCAATTTCTCCCGTGGAGCAGGTGAACTGCTCTGTGGAGCAGGTGGGGGGCTCTGAGGCGGATGAAGAGGCAGCAGGAGATGAAGTTAGTAAAACCAAAAGCTAAGAGAAGACACTGAACATGCACAAGATACATTTTGTCCAGTGTCTGGCAAATGTTTTAAGACATCTTGGACTTTTTCCCGTTTTTACAACCACAAACGAAACCAACACAATGTAGTGTGTAACTGAAGATTAATGAGAATGATGCAGAATTTTCACCACTTTTTATTAATAAATATCTGAACAAAATGTTTTTGTGTTCAGATAAAAAATGTGTTTTTTTTAGTTCAGAAGCTGAAACTCTTGCCCATTCTTTTTTTGGTAAATAGCTTCAGCCTACACAGGCACACCGGTGTGCAGAGATGACAGAGGAGGAGAGATGGAGAAGTTTGACAGTGAAAACAGGAAACATCAGCAGAGGAGAGTAAAGTGAGTGACGGTAGCCAGCAGAAAAAGACCTTTGGACTTATTGTGAATGGAAAAAGGTTCGGCACTTTTACTCTCTTCTGATTAACGATAAGATGTTGAAAATTTGCGTAAATAATGCTAATAAGTTATATGCCTTCTGGGCATATAACTGTAAACATTAGTTACATTAGTTACTCACCAGCCTCATCAGCTTCTTAGCTGATGAGGCTGGTGAGTAACTAATGTTTACAGTTTAAGCCTTGAATGTTACTGTTCAGTCTGCAGTAAATGTTACAAAGTTAAGTTAGTACACTGCTGTAGCTCATTTTAGCAGTCTTTTGATAATCAAATGATTGTGTACAGAATGCTGGCACCAGTGGTTTGCACAGATAAATAATTAAATATCTTCAGGCTCTCAAAAGTATTTCAAATGTGGGTAGAGGAGGATGGCTGTTTGCTCCATCCAATGCAACCTCCCTCAATTGGTTGCATTGGATTATATTTAGGGGCATCCGTGTCAAAATCCTTTCATATTTTCCATTTTACTTCAGTTATGCACAGTGTTGTGGTGGTCTGTCACATAAAATCACAATGAGATACAGATATATTAATAGTAGAGATGTGCTGATCAGGTTTTTTCCTCCCGATACCGATATCGATCACCCATGAGGGCCGATCACCGATACCGATCACAT